CTTTTCCTAGCAAGGACAAAGTTGCTATAGTAGCACATGTTACAACCTGGTTAGCTTTGCCCTGCTGTGTCTGCAGCACTSGGAGGGATGTGATTAGCCAGCAATTGCCAGGCAGATGGCTCAGTACTTGCTCTCATCTCTTCAGATATCTGCAGTTTCAGCCAGGGAGGTGTTTGCTGTTGGAGCACTGTCTTTCTTTCCTCTGTGTTTCCAGAGAGTTCCCAAAACGGGGTGATGGATGTAGATTCTTGTGTAGGAAAGTGTGTGTAATTAGGAGTGATATAAGGAACCCTTGAGGAGGAAGCATGTGCTCAATGGAGCTTTTGGCCAACATGGCTCAGAGGAATCCTAGTTACCCATAACTAATGCATCCAAGTTGGAAGCCAGACCATTCCCTGGTTCTTTTTAGCTAGTGCTCTTGCTGCTCTCACAACTTCTTGGCAGTTGTGAGTAGCAGCAAGGATGAAGGAGGCTGTGGTTCTTAATTCCTTTTATATATGACAGTTGGCTCAAAGGCCGAATGTTGATTTTTCTGCCTTTTTTTTTTTTTCCCTGATCACTGTTCTGATGGGTGCGCTTTACTCATCCACAAGTCTGTCTCTATTTTTCCCTGCCTTTGAAATGTTGATGGTGACTCCAAGGTTGGCTCTAGTCTTTCTACTTAGGAGCTCTGTAAAGTTCAGAGAAAAGTTGGATTTTTTGGGAACTAGTAGGAGGCAAGGGTTCTCTGATAGTGATTGTGGATGGCACAAGCCAAAATCATTTCATCTTTGTAAAGAGCTAGAACCTGAGTAATGTCTAAGATGTGCAACTGTCTTTAAGCCAGTTTTCTACTAGGAATGCAAGATCATAAAATGAAAGCTCTTCATTTACAGAAAGGGGGGAGGGGTTGGTCTAGGCTTTTTCACCCCCTCCTCCTTTATTTTAGCCAATAAAACCTTTCAGGTACAAGAATGACCTCTCTGGACCAGAGAGGTGCAAAATAAATAAAGAAAGAAGTTTCTAAATCTGATCCTTTTTTATCTTTATGGAAGGTGGGCTGGGTGCACTGACGGGTCCTGGGCTGGCTAGTTTGCTTGGAAGTGGGGGACCACCGACCAGCAGTTCATCATCAAGGTAGGATACCTGTGTGATCTGGGTTGGTAATAATTTGTAATGTAAAATTGTCACTTACATGGGAGGAATTTATGGCCTACTGAGCAGAAAGTAAAATGGGAATTAAGACTGCTTATTACCTCTCTAGAATATCAGTGGTAGCTCTTTATATTTCAAGGGCTTAAAAAGAGGGTGAGGGAGCCCTCTCATGAGGGCTTGGGGARGGCGAACTCTTTTTGGAGGTGATTAGTTTTCATTAATTACCTTCCAGCTCTCGCAGCCAGTCCGCTGCTGTGACACCATCTTCCACGACTTCGTCTACGCGTGTAACGCCCGCCCCGTCGGCTCCCGCGGCCGCTTCCGTGACCAGTCCGAGTCCTGTTCCGAGTTCGGGTAATGGAACCAGCTCAGCCACAAGCCCAACCCAGCCCATTCAATTGAGTGACCTTCAGAACATTTTAGCTACTATGAATGTGCCATCTGGAGCAGGAGGACAAGGTAACAGTGTTCTGACCAGACAGCTGTTGGATCCAGGAGTCCTTGGAGCTGTTTTACTGTCCTATCCTGTTCCAAATTGGTTTGAAAGGTCTCTTAATTATTTTTGTTCTTTTTTTTTTAACGATTTGAATACTATTCTTCTTGATTGCTTCAAGAAACTTAATCTTGTTCCAAAACTGAGAGGGAGAAAGGATGTCAGCAATATGCTCAATACATTTCAGTACTCCACTGACAAAATCATTTGGTTAACTTGGCAAAACATGTGTTTTTGTACATAGTCTAACAATCAACCGTTTCTTCTCTTCCTAGTTGACTTGGCTACTGTGCTGACTCCTGAGATAATGGCTCCCATTCTGGCCAATGCTGAAGTTCAGGAGCGCTTGATGCCTTACCTCCCTTCAGGGGAGTCTCTGCCACAGACAGCAGAAGAGATTCAAAATACCCTGACATCTCCTCAGTTTCAGCAGGTAGGTGCCTGGCTCTCACTTCAGTGTCACTCTCCTCTCCTCCTGCCCTGCATGGAGTGACTCTTGTGCTGCTTTTTCAGGTTTCTGCCACTKTGCAGAGTAGGAAGTCACTGTTCTGTAGAAGTGGAAGCAGGAAGGGACACGACTTAACTCTTCTTCCTTGCTTTCTGTGGTTACCCAAGGGCAGATCAGAATATTTTGCTTTCTTTTTTTGGAATTGAGCTTCACCTTTCTCTGTATTATAAATGTCATCTCTGACAAATTACAGCCGACAAAGCAACCAATTCATTATTTTCTTTTAAAAATGGTTTCTACACTTAAAACTAGTTTTAAGATGAGCGCACAGATTTCTAGAAGGAAGGAGATGCTGGTCTTTATATCYCTGTTTCCTCCTGAAACACTAGGACTTAATTCCAAGTATGTTTGGGCACACTTTTATCAGATTAAATCTGGTTTATTGTAGGCTGTCCTGAACTATGCAGACTGAAATTTGTCAATACATGGAATTTCACTAGCTAAGAAGGATGTCTTTAGGTTACTATGACAACTTTTTTTGGCAGACAAGCCTTCAAAAATGAGGGATGTTTTTCACTCGATACTTGATGCGTTATTCTGCAGGTAGATAAAAGCTTAAATTGTCCATGCTCTAAATTAGCTGGAAGTTTTGTCACTGTGGTTTGCTGTGCTGGTAAGTGTATGTTGTAGCGGGGCATATCAGTTTGTGTTTCTGCAGCAGTTACTCTGGCTATTTGGCATCTAGCTGATTAAAAAAAGTATTGGTCCTAGTGACTGCAAAATACTCACAGGGTCTGTGGTGTAAAGGGGCAGTTTAGAGCCTGACCACAGTGCAGTAATTTTTTTTGGAAAGGAGAGGAAGCTGCTCCCAGGTAGGACAACAAACTGTAGTAGCTTATGGAGTTCGGGGACTGGTGTTGTCATTAGGTCACTATGTGGCAGCCRTGTGGTGTTGAAACACAGTGCAAACGTGATGTGATGCTGTTGACTTTAATCCACAGGCGCTGAGCATGTTCAGTGCTGCCTTAGCTTCTGGACAGCTTGGCCCTCTAATGAGCCAGTTTGGCCTACCAGCAGAGGCAGTAGATGCAGCAAATAAAGGTGGTAAGTATTGTGGTGTTGGGAGCATGATTACCTATCCCTTTCACACTGTACATGACGGTTGCATGTGGATTATGAGCAGCTTTCAGAAGCTGACTCCTGCATTTCTCTTTTTTAATGAAAATGTATGTGGCTCAGGTTTTGTTCAGCAGCTGCGGCTATCAGTGTCAGACTGACACTGGAGAATTCAGGGTACTGCAAGCAGATGTGCTGAGTGGCTTTGTGATAGTTTTCTTGAAAAAGATAGATGTTCGTTTTATTTGAATGAATGTTAAAGCTGTCTTCTCTGTTAATAGATTTTTTTTCTAAAGGAACTGTTTATTTGTCGACTAAGGAAGCTTAACTTTTGTGGAGAATGAATCCCATTCCTGAAAATACAGAGTTAAATAACTAATGTGTTTAACTTTTAGATGTAGAAGCGTTTGCCAAAGCAATGCAGAACAGTGTCAAGTCAGACCAAAAGGAAGGCGACTCTAAGGACAAGAAAGATGAAGAGGAAGATATGAGTTTAGATTAAATTATTTGCTTTTCCTTACAGATATTCCTAGATACTAACTTAAGCAACTGTAGTAGGATTACTAACTTCATATTATGCTTATATAAATCTACAAATAAAGGAATTTTCTTTATCTGCCATATGGGGTTTCGGTCTGTTTAGCATGCACTTCACTAGYGCTTGCTGCACTACTGTAGATGGGTATAGATGCTCAGTTAATTCTGAGTGGAAAAGGGGAGGCTACTTTGTTCTTTTGTTGTTTTGCAATGCTGTAAGTTGTAAAAATTATTACAGTAAGTAGCTGTTAATGCTGAGCACGGCGCCAAAGGAGAATGGTCACTRACCTCAAGCTGCCGGCTGCAGTGCTGCTAGGGCGTGTTGCTGACTCACCTCCAACTTGCTGCTCCCCAGGTCGTGTTCTGCAAAGCTGCTGGTTGTTGTCCTGCATGCACTGCTGCGTGGAGGGTCCTGTCCCTGGTGCAGGTCCTCACCGTTGTTAACTCCGTGAGGTTCAACTGCACGAACTTCCAAGCACTAAGAGTGCCGGGAGCAGCCTAGGAATTAGGGCAGCAGCTCCCAGAGAGGGAACTGCTTTTAGCAGATGGAAACCTAGGGTCCCATGCTGATATTTCCTGAGATAGGGATTATTTCTCTTCCAGTTCTATATAAACCTCATGTTTGCTCTTCACTAGTCAAGTGAAAGAGAGTAACATAAAACTTTATTCAACTCCAAAGTATGTACCAGTGATTTACAAAGACCATCTTTAATACTACATCTTAAAAACAGGTCATAATTACATTTAAGATAGACATGTTAAAAACCCATTTTACAATATTTACCCCTCATAAAAAAACAATAAATGATATAAGTTATAAGTCCATTTCAGAAGCAAGATTTTGTCCCCATGTGCCTAGAGATATATATATATATATATACTCACAAATATATATATGATGTGTAAGTGCATGAGTGAACCAGGTGGCTTGGGAGAAAATGGTTTTGATTTCAAGTGAAAACTGCACTACACCAGGAGTGAGTTAAGCCCACCAGGAGAAGGTAACCGTTGGAAGGGCAGGTGAGGGTGAAAAGAACATATCTCAAACCCAACCAGGCTTAGAGGTAATGTTTTCTTTATTTCTTCCCTTTCAAGCAATGCTTTCTTACTTCATACACCAGGACTTTTGTCARTGTGTCTAATGGCACTGAGTGTAACTGCAGAGAGGTAAGAATCGAGGTGTGGCAGTTGTGATATCTTTGCCTCAGCAGTTCTTCCAGCCTGTCTCTTTATTTTATTTTATTTTTTAAATAGTTTTGTATTAATCTGAACAGAAGAGGCTAGTTCTGTAAACAGAGCTGCATCTGGAGGACGCTGCTGCAGAGCGTTTCGCGCAGCAGCGGCAGGTGAACCTGGCGAGACCTTGGGCCCTTAACTACTTCCTTGCACTTGTCACACCCAAGTGACAGAATGACTCCAGTTTGTCCTAATTGCATTTATTATAAAACAGAGGCAGCCAGGAGCAGGAGACAGTCTGGGACTGTTAGTGACAGCCTCAAGTATTCTGTGAACTACAGTTGATGTGCAAGGTAAAGGGAAGGGAGAAAGGAGCAGGGTTTAGGATGCGAGCGCATGGCCCAAGCCCTGCAGAGGACACGAGCCCCGTGTCAGAACAAATCCTGGCTGCTGGGGACGGCATTAGGCAGCCCTAGCTCCTGCTCAGACTTTTTGGTTATTGTTGTAAAGGCTGTTCCTGAGGTTGCCCCTGCTCCCCTTCCCCGGGGGTCCCTCTCTGCCTTTGGCCCCGACGTGTCCCTCAGGCTGGCTCTGCTGCTGCAGATCAAGTGTTCGGGAGCGCCGCTCGTCAGCGCTCGTGCGGGCCGGGCCCGGGGAGCAGTGCAGCTTTCTGTCGTCCAGGCTCCCCCCGAGGTGCGCTCAGAGCTTGGGGCAGCCCTGGAGGCCAACGGCGCCCCTGACCGCGCCGCTGTGCAGCAGGTCCACGGGGCGCCCGTTAAGCCCCAGCTTCCTTACGCAGCCCACGTAGTGGGCGAGGGGCGGCACGGGCCCCGCKCTGCTGCTCGTGGCTGTGTCTGCAAAAGGAGAAATGACCCCGGCGTGAGGCCGGGGCTGCGCACAGGGCCCTGCGGTAGCAGCAGCTCCCTGCATTGCACTGCCTGTGAGCCCCAGGCCTCTTTGGGGTGAGCACAAAGCTCCCCTCCCGCTGCTCTGGGCTCCGTGGGGCTTTGGGCTAGCGCTGTGCTCCGCTCCCCAGCCCTGTCGTACTCACCCGGCAGCCCTCCCAGCTGGAACGTGGCCCTCGCAGCGGCTGCAGGAGGCTGGGGCGTGGGGCCGCAGCCCACGGTGTAGTTCCTCTCTGTGTCCACATCAATCTGGATTATGTTTTTCCTTCTGAGAACTTACAAAGGAATCAATGGTCAGTGCAGCTTCCTCCCCGGGGAGCTCTGCACCTCCCTGACCCTGCATGGGCCCGTGCTTGCCCACCCGACCAGTGCAGAACCAATTTTGCAGCTCTAGATGAGATAAAACACTGATCATAGCTGTAGAATCTGAACTGTTGGGACACAAATTGGGTCAGGTGAGAGGCAACAGGACTCTTGTGCCCTGCAGAAAGTGTTAACAGCAGAAGGAATTGAGGCTGCAACAGGGCACAGGGTACTACTAGGATCAGGTGAAGTGGTTAATTAGAAAATTAGTGGCAGCTACACTCTCCTAAGTTAATTACTTACAGGTGGGAGCTGGACTGGCCTTAAATAGCGGAGGAAGGAGCCCCGGCTCCTCCGTAGGAGCTGGGAGCGGAGCCGCAGGAGCCGAGTGCAGCCGGCCTGGGCTGTCCCCTCACCTGTGATGCGGTGCCAGCGGCCGTCGCAGAGAGGCGGCYGAGTCACCGATGTGGAGAGCTCCCCGGCGCTCGCCATGACCTAGGGCGACACAGACCCACGGATGAGGTTCTGCTCCCAGGTGCAGCTGCAAAATGGGGATCCCCTTCCCACCCTGTGTCCCTCCGGTCAGGCATTCCTGGGAAGCCCCAATGCAGGGGGTGGCTTTGGTGTCACCCCTTCCCCTCCCAGCCCTGGAGGGGCAGGTAGAGCTGAGGGGGTGGCCGGGCACCACCTGGGCCGCCTCCTGCTACCTTTGTCCCATCCATGTGCAGCTGGAGGTCGGGGTTGCTCCTTGTGCCGATGTGGAAGAGGAGGCCAGAGCGGGTGCGGGGACGGACCTCGAGTGTCACCTCCAAGTCCTGCCCGGTCACCACAGCATCACCTGTAGGGAAAACACCACTGCAGAGGAGGAGGATAGGGACAAGGGTCCTTCCATGGGACAAGTCCCTCCCTGCCGGTGTCTGGTTTAGAGCTGCAGCCACCGGGGCCCGCGGGGAGCAGCCCAGGCTGCTGCGGGTACCTAGTGTGACGGAGCCGCCCTCGGCGGAGAAGAAGATGCCGTGTTCCCGGGCTCCCTCGTAGCACGGAGTCACGGCCACAACGTGCGAGGGCGGCCCCAGGGGCCTCCTGTCCAGCTGCAGGTTCTGCAGGCACCCCTTGAAGCTGGAGGCAGACGCAGCCTGCAGGGAGGGAGGCCGGGAATGAGCGCGGAGCGYGCGGGAAGGGCGCAGCCGGAGCGGTGCCGCGGGGCCCCTTACCGGGATGTGAGCGGTGGCTGTCCCGGCTGGCGGCCCCCCCACGTAGAAGGGGGTCCGTGCTAGGAAGGGTCCCGCGTTGGGCACGGCGGCCTCCTGGGCTCGCAGCCCGTCGATGACCAGCTGGGCTCGGCTCTGGTCGCGGCTGAAGAAGACCTGTGGAGACCAGAGGATAGGGCTGGGGGGGCAGGTGCAAGAGGACACTGCATGGGGTGCAGAGGGGACACAGGGGCACCCATGGGTCCTGATATGAGGTGGATGCAAACCCCCAGGTGTCCTCAGCTGGGAGGTTTGGCCAGCCCCAGTGCTGCARCCGCTGCTCCCTTTGCTCCAGCTCATGTGCAGCTGGGACCAAGGCCCAGGGAAGGGCTGAGCTGACGTGACGGCGATGGCCGAGCTGCAGGAATTGCCTCCTGAGCTGCAGGAATTGCCCCCCACGAGCAGCAGCAGCCAAACRCGGAGGAGGTCGAGCGCGGGCCGCTGCTCACCGTGTGCCACCGCCGGTCCCGGTACTTGTCCTTGCTGCGCAGGCGCAGCCGGCGCCCGCCGAGCTCCGCCAGGAGCACGAAGCGCCCGTTGGAGACCAGCAGCGCCAGGAAGGCGCCCTGCTCGCCGGCGACGTAGAAGAGCAGCCCGTTGGAGGAGCCCAGCTTCACCTCCAGGGAGAAATAGGACCTGCGGGGAGAGCAGCCGCGCTCGGAGCTCCTCGTCCTCCTGCCGGTGCCCGACTCCAYGTGGGGCCGGCCCAGGGGGAGCCTCACCTGCTCCGGAAGGAGGCCGGGATCTCCGCAAACTCCCAGCGGCTGCTTGGGGACCCTCCGAACTGGAAGGAGCCCCTGGCCGCGCGGGGCTGCGGGTGCAGCTGGCAGCCGCTGTCCCTGTCGTGGCGCCGGTCCTTGGAGGCGGCTTTGCCCGGAATCTGGGTGAAACGAGCCCAAAATGGGGTGAGGGGGACAGGGCCAGGCACAGCTCTGCTGCATGGGGCAGGGACACGCCAGCACGGCCAGGCAAAGCAGAGAGGGGCAGCAAGACCCACGGCGGGCAGAGGGACAGGGRGCTGTGGGTGTCACAGGCAGGGACAGCAAGGGAGGGAACTGGCAGGGGGGATGGAGAGATGGCAGGAGCTGCGGGTTGCCAGGCCGGTACCTTGGGTTTCCGCCTGCCCTTCCCGGAGGGGACGCGGAGCTGCTGCGGCCGCTCCCCCCAGGGGCAGCTCATGGTGACGTTGACGCTCCGCACGTTCTGCTGCAGGTCCACGACCGCCTGCGGCTCCAGCTTCCTGCAGCGCCGGGAAGGGGGGTCACGGGGACGCCGCGGGGAGCCGGAGCGGCTCCAGCCCCGCACCCCGCGGCACCCACCGCTTCACGAAGACGTTGCTGATGCAGCCRCTGAGGTTGCGGCGGGCGCCGGGCTCCGGGGAGCCCCCGAGCTGGAAGAGGCCCTGGCCGTCGTGGCGCCGCTGCCGCCGCCGCCCCGCGCCCGCCGCCGCCTCCTGCAGCTCGTCGTCCACGTAGAGCCGCAGCCTGYGGGGACGGCGGCGGCCTGAGCGGGYGCCCGGCGAGCGGCGGTGGCACCGGGCGCGTGCGGGCAGGACCTACCCGTGCGCGTCGCTGTAGAAGGCCACGTAGTGGGTCCTGCCGTCCGCGTACGTGTCGCTGGTGGTGAGTTCGGCTCCCAGCATGGTCAGGGCCAGCTGGCCGCCCGTGAGGGACACCTGGCAYGTCCCCTCCTGGCAAGGGCACGGGCCGTGAGCGCGGGGCAGCCCGAGGAGGGGGACGAGCCCCYGCGGTGCCCTGCCGGGGGGCCCACCTGGGTGCTGTGCTGGTAGAGCAGCCCCTCGCGCTGGCTCGTGCGGAAGCTGAAGCCGCTGTAGAAGTCCCGCAGCTGCGGCACGTTCCGCAGGGACAGYGTCAGGTAGCCGTGGCCGTGGAGGCTGACGGAGCGAGCCACCTGCGAGGACACGGCGGGACGGGACGTGAGAGGGACCCGCCGGCCCCTGCACGTGCCGCTGAACCTTGTGGTGCAGTGGACCCCTGGAAGGGGGGACGGCGGCAGGACAACCCTGCGTTCAACCTACCAGGAGGTCGGAGGTGCAGCCGTAGCTCACGCCCACGGTGCTCATGCGCTTCAGGTCCACGTACTTGCCGAGAGCCTTCAAGCCCTTCATGCAGCCCCGGATGGGCCCTCCCGTGGGGAAGAGCGCTTTCAAGCTGCGGGAGAGGCAGGCGGTGGCACCAGRCTGGCCCACGGTCCCCTTCACACCCAGCACCCACGCGGGACCACAACACTTGGAGCATCTCTGGCGCCTCAAGCACGAGGCTGCTCCAAAGCACCTAGTACTGCCAAGGAGGGCTCAGTGGCACCCGGGAGCAGCTTGTCCCTCATGGCTACAGGCTGGAAAAGCTCCCGGGAGCTCTGCAGGGATCCCACCGGCCGCCTGGGATCTGGACTCTCCCACCCTGGCTCCGTGTCCTCATTCCCGCGGTGCCYGCGTGGGGCTGGGCGCACCTGGGGGGCAGCAGGGCGGGCGGCACGCCGCCCAGGTAGTAGGAGACRGCGTTCTCCAGCGAGTTCTCCTGCTCCACCATGAAGATGGTGAGCCGCTCCAGCCGCACCAGGATGCGCTTCTTATTGTTCATCTTCAACAGGAAAATCTGGATCTGGAGGCGGAGGGGAAACTTCTTCTCAAGCTTCTATCTCAAAAGACCACAGAGTGTCTCCAGCCTGCAGCTGGGGTGAAAAAAACCCAGGAGGGAAGCCCAGGGCCTGCAGGCTACAACTCTCCCCTCCAAATGGGGATCTGGGTATCCCATGTGTCCTGTGGGTGCACAGCACTGGGGGAGATGGTGCCGAGAGCCAGCACAGGAGCTGCAGCCAGGAGGAACCTCCTCCTGGAGGTTTCTGGAGGAACCAGGAGGAACCTGGCTGCATCCATCCCAACTCTGGGGATGGACGGGGAGCCCATGCGGAGCCCCGCAGGGCAGCACAGAGCCGGGCCGGCCGCATCGCCGCTCTCCGCGCGCTCCTTACCGCCTGGTTGGAGGYGCTGCCGATGGCGAGCGACAGGGAGGTGTTGCTGGGCTTTGCCATCTCCAGGCCGCCGCTGAAGTCGTAGTAAAGCACCAGCTTCCCGTCYCGGATGGCCAGACACAGGAACTGGCCCTGGGGGAGACAAGGTGGGTGCTCAGGCCCTGCTGCTGAGCCCACAAGAGCAGGAGCGGGTCCTGCCTCTGCTGCCTTGGCTCCAGGTGCAGAGATGATCCTGATGGGAGATATCCTTGGAAAGGGCAGCCCTTGGGTGGGAAATGCCCCATGCAGCTACCATGGATGGRAAACACCCCTTGCAGGACCACCTGCCCCAACAAGGCTGGCTGTGAAGGCTGGAGGTGCATGGATGCTCTCGGAGCTAAAGGGAGTCTCTCCAGCACTGGACAAACTCTTCCCCCTATCTGATTCCCTGAACTAGAAACACCCGGATGGGATTTGTCCTGGGAAGCCTCAATCCAGCCCTCAGGAGAGCTGGGCTAGGCCCAGGTGAGGGACCAAGGCTCCCTGGAGGTCCCATGTGGAACAGGGGAGCTGGCACCTGCCTCRTTCTCCAGGAAGAAGATGATGCCGTTGTAGGAGACCACCCGGATCTCCTGCTCAAAGCGCTTGGTGGTGCCAAACTGGCTCTCAAACTTGATCTCTGCGTAACCGGTGCCATCAAAGTAGGAGCCGTCTGTCAGCCAGGGGTCTCCTGTGGACTTGGACCTGAGCCACGGGAAGAGAGGGGATGAAGCATCACTGTCCATGCTGCCCCGGGACAACCAAGGATGGGGATAATCCCCATTTCTGGAGGCAGGAGCGGCCCTAACCCTGGGCAGGGGATCCTACCTGGCGCAGGGCTTCTCCACAGAGGTATCCAAGTGGAAGGTGCGCTGGAAGTTGTACAGACTCACGACCTCTTCGTTGAGCGTGTCCAGCTCCAGGCACCCGCGGTAGTTGGGGTAGCGCAAAGTGGGAGGGGGCTGGGAACAAAYCCGACCAGTTGGTGCAAGTTTGCTCCTGGCTTCCCCATAACACACAGGATCTCCCCCCAGAGCCCCCAAGGGTCCTGCTGAGGTCTCAAAACCCCCATTTCCCTCCCTGCTCCCCGTGCCCATCTCACCGTGAAGCTTGAGGGGTAGCCGCCCACGTAGAAGACCACGTTGCGTGGGTCCAGGTTGAGCAGCCCCTGCTCCCCCTTGGCAACGCTGTCGCCCTTGGTCTCGTGCACCATCTGCCTCTCCACGATCACCGACATGTGTCCGTACTGCAGGATCCTGCGGCAGGGAGGGACCATCAGGAYGAGTCAGGAGCCTCAAGGAGGACCAACCCTGCTCTTCCCTAGGACAAAAGCCTCCTTGCTGCAGACTTGATGGACATCTTCATCTCTCCTCTCCCACAGGTGCTTTCCAGCCTCTCTGTGACCTGGTAGCACCATTTCCTGATGGAGTTTTGGGGATTTTTGGAGATCTCCACATCATCTCTACAAGCTGCSTGGGCCTGGATTTGTACCACCCACATCAGCTGCTGGGACAGTTCTCCAACAGAATTGCTCAGCATTTTCCCGCGAAAGCCTTTCTCCTGCTCTTCTTCCCCTCCTGAACTCCTGCTGTGTTTTTGGCAGCCACTGTACTTCTCCCTGGGGGGGTGGACCACTCGTTTGTTTTTCCTGCATGAATGTCCTTCAGAAGAGCCTGGAGAGCCTCAGAAGAGCCATGGTCAATGACTGCCTCTATCTCCTACCTGTTGATGCTGATGGTGGCAAACTGCTCCCCGATCTCCTCATCRACGGTGAGGGAGGCCGGGTCCTCGTCTCCCAGCTTGTAGACCCACTGCACTTTGTGGTCCTTGAGCACGATGCCCAGGTAGTCTCCGGAGGCCTGAATGAAGGGAATRCTCGAGGTTGGTGCTCAAGCCCTCCAGGATGGGCACGAGTGTCAAGTGGTGGCTCCTCTGATAGGATATGGGGATGAAGGCTGCACGTGTGGCTCCTGTGTGCCTGGTGCAGAGCGAGGCCGGGCCAACCCCGCTGTCTTCCCCATTGCTGTGTCCTCCTGCCCTGCTCGAGGGCCCCGTCTCACCTCTCGGCTGCCCAGGTAGAGCACGAAGCGCCCGTCCTCCGCGCTGTCCTGGCGCCGCTGCCGGCTCTTGGGCTCGGGGTTCTGGATGTAGAACTTGAGGGAYGTGTAGGCTGCCAGGTCCTGCAGGTTGCTGGGCATGCGGACCTGCACGCCCGAGCTGCCGTTGAACTTCATGGGGACTTTCACCTGCAGAGAGAGAAACCCAACCCCACAGGGCTGAACGTGTTGCCCTCCCCTTCCAGCTCTGCACAAAGCCCTTCTGGACTTCGTATGTGAAAAAGGGAAGCTGCCTGGAAACCCCAGAGCTTCTCTGTACTCACGTCCTGCCCTTGTACTTGTCCTTCTGCAACCCAAGCCCCTGACCCGGTGCTCTGCAGCTCTCCTGCTCCCGTGACCCACCTTGCTGGCCGCGTTCCTCGCCTGCGTGATGAGCTGCCGGATCCGCACGATGTTCTCCGACACGGTGGCGTTCTTGTTCCTCCTGTTCTCCAGGCTGCTCAGCTTCCCCAGCAGCAGCGGGATGGTGCTTTCCAGGCTGGACACTGCGTCGGAGAGGAGGAGCCAGGGTTTATCAAGGTTAGTGGGGCATGTGGAGCAGGGGGAATTTTGAGATATGCAAAACTAAGCAGTGGCCATTGGAATCTGAGTCACAGAATCATCCCCTAAAACCATTAGCCTCTGGTTGGTAGATTGTGAAAATATTCCAGTGTGTGCAAATCCCTGCAGTAAACACATAGGCAACACTGCAGGGTGAGGGAATAAGACAAAGGGGTAGGTTGAGGCACCCAGTCTTAGCTCCCAAAGCGAGGTGCTTGCTGAGGACAGGCCTGGCTGTGTGCTGACGGATTCCGAGCTCGGTCCCAGCAGGCCCAGCAAGCCCAGTGCTCACCAGACTTCCTGGCATCCTGCACCRCCCGGTTCAGGTCTTCGCTTCGCAGATCTCCGTATTGGTCCTTCCACTCATCCACRTTCTTCTTCATGGTGTTCAGTGTATCTTCCACTCTCGCAGCTGTTTCATTGGCCTCGGCTGCCGCTGCTTTGGCATTCTGGATTGCCTCCTTTGTGTCCTCTGTAAGGAAAGGAGGAAAAAGTCTGGGTTGAACAGGTGAGAGGAGGAAAAGTCCAGCTTGCAACTGGGGTCAGCTGCATGCCAGCCGTCCTGAGGAGACCCAGGCTGAGGGGCTTGCAGGAACGGTGCTGGGAGACCTCTGCACACTCAGGTGCAGGAACACGTGTGCTCATTCACCTAAAGCAGTGGGGCTCCACATAAAATGATACTGACCCTCTCTTCACCCATGCTCAAAGTCCAGTCCTAGGCACAGTTCCCCTCCCTCGAGAGGGGAGGGTGTAGATACCAAAGGGGTTTATAGGGACTTAGAAGAGGGCAGGCTGTGGAGCTCCAAGGAGCATGTGGGTCATGGTCTAGTGTACAGAGGGGGAACAGGAGCAGCTGCCCCAGGACAAACCTTGATCCCTGCCCAGCATGTCTTGCACGGACTGCAGCTGGCTCAGGAGCTGCTCCTTCTTCACACGGAGGTCGGTCAGTTTGTCCTTGGCCGTCTGCAGAGTGCCTCTAATAGCTGCAATTAAATGTATAAACAAATAAGCTGTGTGTTGGGCCTCAGTTCAGCCCAAAGGACATCACACCCTGCTACTTGTACCCACAGCCACCCCAGCCAGCCCTAACTGCTCTCTCTGCCCAGGGATCTGCTGCAGTTTCTGCCCTCTGCCCAACCTCCTCGTGTCTATGCAAGGAGCTGCTCTCACCCCCGTTGAGTCTTCTCTGCTCTCTCTCCACAGCCTCTTCAAGGTTGCTGCTGTTCTTCTTCAGCTCTTTGGAGATGGCCCCGAGGTTTTCCGACATGACGTTCTATAAAACAAACATGGGACAGAGCCTGAGAGTCTGGAAGAAGAAATCAAGCCCCTGRTCTTCCAGCTGTGCTGCTGGGCTGGGACAGGTAAACAGCCCTGGACTAAGGGACACCAAACCCCAGCAGTCTGGCCCTGGAGAGATGCTGTTCTCCAGCAAAAGGTTGGTATATGTTGGTATAAAAAGCCACGCGGCTGTTGAGGGGACAAAAAGGGTTGGATTTTGCTCATCCGCGCGYGGCACATACCATCAAGGCCTCGCTGGCCGCCTCGTTGGCATCGTGGGCAGCTCGCTCGGCTTTTTTCACAGCTTCGATGATGCTGGCGTAGGCGTTGGAGGCGTCGACCGCTCGCTGGATGAAGCCGTCCTGGTTCGTGCCCTGGATAATGCTGTGGTTGAAGATGAAGCCGTCAGGCCCTTGTAGACAGCTCAAGGTGAGCTCCTRTCCATGTCCCAGGGTCAAAGCCTTTCAGGCTCCACGCTAAAGCCCTGGAGGTTGCACCCTTTTCAGTGGGGCAAGCCCCACGGACAGAGCTGTGCCTGGGCTGGGGCTCTCTGTGCCAGGCCAGAGGGCTGGCTGATGGCTCAGGGCTTCCCAACAGAGCCACAGGGAGCCAGGTGGGGTCATTACCTGGACAGGTTCCTTGAGAGCTCGTCCAGGAGCCGGGCGTGCTCCTCAGCCTGTTCTACCACTGGGATCTTGCTGCTGGCCGGGGAGAACTTCTTCACTCGCTCCGTCAGAGGCAGCTTGGCCCCATCCAGCAGGGCTGCCAGCTTCTCGTACTCCTGCAAGGACTCGGGTCACTCCTGAGGGCCACTTGCTGCCTGCCCACTGCTGCAGGGAGGTGTGGACATCCCTGCAGGGCTGGTCACCTGGACCAGAGCAGTGCCAGGGTCGCTCTGTGCTCCCCCTTTCCTTCCTCCTTCACCCACCCGTGGTCAGCAGCTGTGCGATCCCATTGCTCCCACGCTCTGTGGTCAGGCTGGAGCACCATCACTCACCTCCTTCGCACTCTCCATCTTCTGCAGGAAGCTGGAGACCTGTGCCAGCGAGTCCTTGGCCATCCTCAGGGTGTCCTGCACCAGCCCATACTGCTTCTGGAGTTCAGAGCTCCTTTGCTAGACACACAGATGTGGAGTTAGGAGCCAGAGACCCTAGGACWGGCCCATCCTAACTGCACTTGTACCACATGGCTGTACAGGGTCACTTGGGGAAGGAAGATCTACCTGACTCTCCTCCAGGTTGTTGCGATTGAGGCTGTTCAAGTCCTCTGTCTGCCGGGTTTTATTCACGGCCTCGTTGAGGGCATCGCGGAGGTCCATGAGCTCAGAGCTGTGCTGAGCCAGCCGCTCTTGGATGCTCTTCACCAGGTCCTGGTTGGCCTCCCAGCGGGTGTACAGCTCGTTCCTCACGCGATGCAGCACTGAGGACAGAGGAGACAAGACCTGTTTCTAATCTCTTCTCTTGTGCTGAAGGTGTCTCTCTGTGTCTGTGCTGCAGATAAGMCCAATTCTGGTCTCAGTTTGCAGGTATTAATCCAGAAGAGATGGTCCTTTCTTCTCCCTCAGCCTGCACAGTGTAAGACCTTATGCAGCATCATCTCCAAACTCACAACATTAGTTTGAGAGAGAGAGCATCTCCTTCAGAAAAAACACCCAGCTGTGACTGAAAGGCTCCAAGCGATGGACAACAACAAGCTAAGGGTGATTCTAGTGCTTCACCACTGATAATTTTCATTAGAAACAAGCAGCATTTTTTAACAGCCTAGCTTTTGGTTACTAAATTATATTGTGTCCCCATGGCACCTGGTGCACACAGTTACACAGCAGGGCTTTGTTTGGACCAGAATCTGTCCCCTTGCTTCCTGCTAGAGATGCCCTCAGGGTCGTGGGCCTGGCATCCAAGCTGGGTGGGTGGTGATATCCCTGCTCTTGTCCTCAACAGCTCTACTGGGCAGTGAACACAGGGGAACAAGAGGACATTCAGTCGTATCAATACGTGACGMATATGTAATGACAAGAATACCTATTTCTAAGTGTTGTCACCTTTTCATCAAACAGAACTATCCAGCTATTATAATCAAGGGCAATTTAAAAAAACAAACAAAAAAATCCCCCACAAAATCCCAGAGCCAGACTCACACTTCTGAGCCTCCTCATGCTCGTGCCTTGCCAGTGCTTCCTGGCTGCCAAAGCCCCGCTCCTTCATCTCCTTCAGCATCCTGTCCACCTCGGCCATCTTCTGCCGGAACTCCTCGGTGGACGTGGTGCTGGCGTTTGCTGTCCCAAMCTCGGCCATCTGCTGCAGCAGGTCTGCAGGAAAATCCAGCATCTCCGTTACGTTCATGTTCCCCCTTCCTTTTCCCCAGGGAAGCAGTGCTGCTTGCAAAGCACAATCATGGTGTTCCCAGCAAGAAGAAACCCACCAAGCAGATACTTCTTTACTACCTACCTGCAATGCTTCTCTGGATGTTTTGGATATCTAGCAGGAGCTGCTCCCCTCTCCGGTAAGTGTCTCTTGTGTGCTGCTCTAAATGGTTTGCTTCTCTTTGAGTCATTGTCATCTACAACACAAAATCCTGGTTTAACTGAAGCATGAGATTACGTTCAACATGGTCTGTCAGACAGGGAGGGCATGTAGCACCCAGAGGATGTGCTGGCTTTGGGAAGGTGCTGTTTTGAGCTCCCAGAACTAAGTTGTATCTCCTGCAAGAGCCCGCCCTGTGCTGCTCTCCTACGATGTCTTTAGAGATACCTTATTTACCACACGTGCATCCTAAGGCCRTCCCTTGCCTCTAGCCCAGCCCTAGAGCCTGGAGGCAGACGAGTGAGTCTGAGCAGGAGACAGAGCCTGGGTTGTTGGGTCGGGGCTGCTCAGACCTTGCACACTCCTGGACAGAGGTGGCATTTGTGTAGCTGCCCAAGGGATGCACGCCATCCTGAAGAAACGTTTGTCTTTCACGTAGATAAAAACCAATGGCTCAAATSCTGCTCATCTTATAATTTCTCTGAAGGCACAGTTGGTATTTCTTCATACTGACCCTTGCAAAAAAACGCTCTTACACAGAGCCCTCCAAAGACTGCTATGACAAAAAAGGTCAATTCTCCTGCTGTGACAGGGCCAGGGCTCTGCTGGCTGCACTCAGGACAAACCCAGCCATTCACATCTTCCCTAGATTCTCCTTTTTTATAAAGGATGTGTTATGGAATTTATCTTCAACCACTTAAAGCTGGAGCTGCCTCTAAAGAGGTAATAAATCAAGACATGACCAAGCCCTCCAAGGGACCAATSCACATAACCTAGCTCAGGCACATGAGTAAGAAGCTCCGATGCCCAGAGCTTAGTGCTGGGCTGGGCAGGTGGTCCAGTCCATTTGAGCTAGGTTCCTCATGGCCATCAAAGCCCTCGTTTTTGGTAAAAGGAGAGATTTATACTCCAGCAAGAGGAGGAAGCTGAGGAGCATCCTACTTTGTGCTGCAGTGCRTTCAGGTCCTGCGTGAGGTCCACGTTCTCGTCCTCCAGCTCGTCCACCCGTTGCCTGATCTTGCCTTGGGCTCGCTGGTACTCACGCAGGTGGCTCTATGAGAAAGGGTGAAAAATCAGGCAAACGGGCAAGGAAAAGCAGGCAGGAGCAGTGGTAAAGCCTTGCGCGTACCGTGACGGTGGCCATGGTGTTGTTGAAGCCGTGCAGGCGAGCCCAGGCGATGGAGCTGGCGTTCAGGTTCACCAGCTGGCCCCGAATGGAGGGGAAGGACGTCTCGATGCTCTGCAGGTCTTCGAGCAGGAGCAGGACACAGCTGTCACACACTGGTGGGGACAGGAGCAGTGAGCAGAGAGCCCCTCCTGGCTGCCCTCGCACCCTCCCTGTGCCAACAGGAGGGATGGAGCCTCCAGCTCCAGCCAGGCCACTAATCCCACTACSAATGAAGCCAGCACGTCTGGGCAGACAGAGAGGAGGAGGAGGGAGATGTCGCAGCAGGATACCGACCTTCGCACCTCATGCTGTCCGGGCCATTTGCCACGAGCACCTCGTGCTTCTGCAGGCACACGTCGCACTGCTTCCCTGCTAGCCCGTTGGGGCAGGTRCACTCGCCCGTGCGCGGGTCGCAGGAGCCACCTTTGCACTCGCACTCTGCCGGCAAGAGAAGTGACTTAGAAACGTGGCACTTGAGCCAGGAAAAGAGGGCACAGCAAAACATCACCATTATTCTCTCTTTGCACCATTGGTTATGATCTCTCCTGTCCCTTCCCCAATAAAGCTGMTCAAACTATGGCATGCATGAGAGGACAGCAGTTATTGAATTTGATTCTAAAAAGCATCGACTCTGTACAGATTTCCTGTGTTAATGATTTTTCCACTCTACTCTGGCCTTGTTAGGTCACCGCTGGACCAGAATGTCCAGTTTGGGTCTTTCCAGTTSAAGAGAGACCCTGAAAAACAGGAAAGGGGCTTGTGGAGTGTCACCGAGTGCTTTGCAAAAGTTGCCTCCTGGGACATCCTGCCTGGATATGGGAAATTCCTTATCATGAGAACAGCTGATCATCTTTTCTTTCCCCACAAAGGTTGGTGGGAGGAAGACAGCAGCGGTCCGTGCCAGGCTGGAAGGGGAGCAGGGGGTGGATCTATTCCAGCTGTGCAGCAGCCTCTCTGCTCACCCACAAGGTTTCAACCCCGAAACACGCGCGGGATGCGAGGGACTCACTTGTGCATCCGCGGGGGCCGAAGCCCCAGTAGCCGGGGGCGCAGTGCTGGCAGCGGGCGCCGCTCACGCCGGGCAGGCAGCTGCACTGCCCCGTGTGCGCGTGGCACCGCGGCCCCGCGGCGCCCTCGCCGCACTCGCACGGCCGGCAGCCCGAGCAGCCCTTGAAGCCGTAGTAGCCATCCTAGGGAAAAGCAGCGCGTTCGGCTCCCCGCTCGGCCCAGGGACACGGGACCCAGCCCTCAAAGCGCTTGGACACCCCCAAAATTTAGACCAGCAGGGCAAGGAGGGGGAGCTGCACCAAGGGATCGTCACTGACCCCAAATGCATCAATCCCCCAGCTTGGTGGCCCCGCACTGCAGCCAGGCCATCCTCCCTGTCCCCAGTGTGGCCACCCCGTGTCCGGCCACGCAGGGCCCTCACCTCGCAGCGGTCGCAGTGCTGGCCCGTCACACCAGGCTTGCAGAAGCACTGGCCGGTTTGCGGGTGGCAGGAGTCGGTCCCGCAGGGCGAGCAGTGACACTCTGCCAGGGAGAAGCACAGCCCGTTACACGGAGCACTCACAGGAGCAACCGGCCGCCCGCAAATCCCCCTGTTCCTGCTGGGGATCCCTATTTTCTACCTGTCCAGCACAATTAGAACAAACCCAGGCCTTCTCCTCTCCTGGATCTCAATCGGTGTTGGGAACGCCTCGTGCAAAGCTATGCTCCAAGGGGAATGATGCCTGGGAACGAGCTGCTTGGGTTGAGCCTGCTCCAGCCTGGGGGCAGCTTAGAGGTGGCACATAGGAGCTTACAGAGCTGTGGTCCTGAGGGGCAAGAGTTTGGAGTTCTTCTTCACTTAGCAGTGTTATGTGGCCTGCACTTCCTCCAGACAACACACAGAAGCGCTAAGGGGCTGTACGTGCCCACGCTCCATCCCCCCGCCCGCCCTCGCACCCACTCCGTGCTCACGGGTGCAGTTCTTGGCCACCACGGCGTCCCCGTAGTAGCCGGGCGCGCAGACGTCGCAGCGCGCGCCGGCCGTGTGGTGCATGCAGCCCGCGCAGGCGCCCGTCAGCGCGTCGCAGCTGCTGAACAGCATGTTGGGGTCCGTGTTGCCGCTGCACTCGCAGGGCTGGCACGAGCTGCCGATCACCAGCGGATTGCCGTAGTAGCCCGGGGCACATCTGCAGAAACACGGCGTGTTAAAGCACGGGGAAGGAACAGACCCCCAGTAACACGTTACAGCAGCAGCAGGGACATTAAGSGGGGGGACATTAAGAGAGTAGGCTGAAAGGGACTGAAATAAACCYTGTGAAGCACTCGGGTCGGAATCAACCCCTTCCCTGCAGTTTCTTGAGAGGCTGAGTGAGCTGGGCCTTTTTTCTCTGGAGAAGAGACGGCTCAGAGGGGATATGATTAATATGTATAAGTTCAGGAAGGGAGAATGCAGGGAGGAAGGGGACAGGCTGTTCTCACTGGTGGCCAGCGATAGGACGAGGGGWAATGGCCACAAGCTGAAACACAAGAAGTTCCGTCTCCAGGTGAGGAGGAACTTCTTTACTGTTAGGGTRACAGAGCAGTGGAACAGGCTGCCCAGGGAGGTTGTGGAGTCTCCTACTCTGGAGGTCTTCAAAACCCGCCTGGATGCCACCCTGTGCCACATGCTCTAGGTGTGCCTGCTTGAGCAGGAAGGTTGGACTAGATGATCTGTAGAGGTCCCTTCCAACCTTAAATATTCTGAAAATATTCTGAAATATTCTGAAATATTCTAGGACAACTTTTCTGCAGCTGTGGGGCCTGTCCTGGTTAGAGGGGTCCCAGCCCAGAGCCGCCGGGGCCATCGCTCTCACCGCTCGCAGTTGGCTCCGGCGTAGCCGGGCTTGCAGAGACACTGGGTGCCGGAGCCCTTGTGCACGCAGCCAACGGCGAAGCTGCAACGACAGCAGGGACACGGCGGAGCGGTCACCCCAGCCGTGCAGAGCCACGGCAGCCGGCTGGAGCCAGCTCACACACGTGGCGCTTACTGGGACACCCAGATGCCAGCAGTGAATCCCATCCGAGGGCACTTACTTGTTGGAGGCGACCGACAGAGGACACGGGCACCCGACGCACTGCAGGAGCCCCTCGGCCGAGCGGCTGCCCACGTAGCCGTCCTTGCAGCGCTCGCAGTGCTCGCCCTCCGTGTTGTGCTGGCAGTTCTGCAAGGACACGGGYGGCTATGCACTCAGCAGGGACGGGAGAGGACGGGGGCTTAGGGCAGACAATTCCCTGTCTGATAACTGGACCCTTGGATCCTCCTTCTCTCCCAGGACTCACTTTCTCCCCAAGCTGACCCAGAGCCAGGACCCCCCCAAAATGGCACATGCAGCTAATGCCCCTGGTCAGGCAGGGTCTACATGCACAGAACCTTTCAATCACATGCTGCAGCCGTTCCAGATCCAGATATCCGCACTCCACTGGGTATTTACTTACCAGGCATATCCCGGACCCTGGCAGGCACTGGTCTGAGTGGCCATTGCAATGACACGGGATGCATTTTCCCAGAAAGAGCCCCTTGGTGTCCCTGTAGTAACCTGGAGCACATTCCTAGGGAAAAGGAGAAAGAAAGAGAGATGGAAAAAAAAAAAAAAAAAAAAAAGAAAAAAGGATGAGAGCCTCTG